TCTCTCTCTCTCTCTCTCTCTCTCTCTCTCTCTCTCTCTCTCTCTCTCTGTCCGGTACTAACCTGTGAAGTTGGCGCCTTGATTCAGGTACCTCGACGATGGAGCTGGAGCTATGGCGCCACAGGTAAGTTTCACTGGCCTCCGCCAGCCATCTCTCTCCAACACTACTACTACTATTACTACTAGCGCCCTGCGCTGAAGACTGCTCCTGCAGCTACTAGCGCCCAGCGCTGAAGACTACTGCTAGCGCTAACACTACTCCTGCAGCGCTCCTCCAGAGTGCTGCGGCCGAATCCTGAAGACTGCCTCCTGCCTTCTGCCCCCGTGAAGTGCATAGGAACTCCCTATGTACTACCTCGGCCTGCCTTCTGACTGCCTGCAGCTGCAGGTCGGGGCAGTCCAGGAGGCTGCTCTTGCCAATGCCGAAGTGAGCCAGGGCCTGCTGCTGCAGCTCCTGCTGAGGCTGTCATGGGAACAAGCCAAAAATAACCTGTTCCCGAAACCCTGGTTTGGTGCCTGAGTGTTAGGGCAGGTCGATCTTATGAGGGCCCAAAAGTGGCCCTCCGTTACAGGCTGAAAAGACTCAGGGCCTGGAAGGCCCTGTTTTAGGCTGAAACGACATAGGGCCTGCAGGGCCTCGTTTTCAGGCTTTCAGGCTGAAACGACACGGGGCCTGTAAGCCCTTGTTTTTAGGCTTTTAGGCTGAGACCGCGGGACGGGCCCTGCAGGCCCGTGTGGCTGCGCAGTATGCCACAGGGGCTCACCCATTTGGGGCCTACCGGAAGCTTCCTGGGAGAGGCCCAGGGCAGCCAGGCAGCCCACGACTGGCAGCCTCACTCCATAAAGGAAAGGGCCTGGCTGCTGGCTGGACATTCGGGCACTCACTGCTTATGCGCCAGCTGCTGAGAGTGCCTACGCGCTCACGGGCGAGCAGGGAAGAAGCAGGCAGCCATAGCCAAGCTGGCCTGCGCGTTGCTGGATGGGGCGCATGGTGGTCTTCGGGTGCATGTGGCATCTGTGTGGAGGATCGAGGGTGTGAGTGAAGCAAGCGACATACCTGGTGCTTGATGCGAACGACATTGGCCGAGATCTGCTCGTACTTCGAGAAGCTGTTGACGTCACCAGCGATCTGCCATTCGTAGTCTGGGCGCTGAGTGCCAGATAGGGTATCGACATTGGTTCATTGATGATGATGCGAGACTATTCCAACATTGTCATTTGTGAGCTTTGTTGTGCTCTTATTTGGTGTAACTCGAGTTCGATTCGAGTTCAAGACTATCTGGTTTCATGTGTATGATGCGGCTTGGTCTCTGAATTTCGCTATCGCTCATTTTCCTTGCATTTTGGTATCAGAGTTGTGGTACGTTCCGCTCATTTGGTGCTTGTCTTCTGCCTATGCGGTGCATGCACGTGG